CCAAGACCAAAGAGCTCTCCAAGGATGTCAGGGACAAGATTGTAGACCTACACAAGGCTGGAATGGGCTATAAGACCATCGCCAAGCAGCTTGGTGAGAAGGTGACAACAGTTGGTGCGATTATTCGCAAATGGAAGAAACACAAAAGAACTGTCAATCTCCCTCGGCCTGGGCTCCATGCAAGATCTCACCTCGTGGAGTTGCAATGATCATGAGAACGGTGAGGAATCAGCCCAGAACTACACGGGAGGATCTTGTCAATGATCTCAAGGCAGCTGGGACCATAGTCACCAAGAAAACAATTGGTAACACACTACGCCGTGAAGGACTGAAATCCTGCAGCGCCCGCAAGGTCCCCCTGCTCAAGAAAGCACATACACATGCCCGTCTGAAGTTTGCCAAGTAACATCTGAATGATTCAGAGGAGAACTGGGTGAAAGTGTTGTGGTCAGATGAGACCAAAATGGAGCTCTTTGGCATCAACTCAACTCGCCGTGTTTGGAGGAGGAGGAATGCTGCCTACGACCCCAAGAACACCATCCCCACTGTCAAACATGGAGGTGGAAACATTATGCTTTGGGGGTGTTTTTCTGCTAAGGGGACAGGACAACTTCACCGCATCAAAGGGACGATGGACGGGTCGATGTACCGTCAAATCTTGGGTGAGAACCTCCTTCCCTCAGCCAAGGCATTGAAAATGGCTCGTGGATGGGTATTCCTGCATGACAATGACCCAAAACACATGGCCAAGGCAACAAAGGAGTGGCTCAAGAAGAAGCACATTAAGGTCCTGGAGTGGCCTAGCCAGTCTCCAGACCTTAATCCCATAGAAAATCTGTGGAGGGAGCTGAAGGTTCGAGTTGCCAAACGTCAGCCTCGAAACCTTAATGACTTGGAGAAGATCTGCAAAGAGGAGTGGGACAAAATCCCTCCTGAGATGTGTGCAAACCTGGTGGCCAACTACAAGAAACGTCTGACCTCTGTGATTGCCAAAAAGGGTTTTGCCACCAAGTACTAAGTCATGTTTTGCAGAGGGGTCAAATACTTATTTCCCTCATTAAAATGCAAATCAATTTATAACATTTTTTACATGCGTTTTTCTGGATTTTTTTGTTGTTATTCTGTCTCTCTCTGTTCAAATAAACCTACCATTAACATTATAGACTGATCATATCTTTGTCAGTGGGCAAACGTACAAAATCAGCAGGGGATCAAATACTTTTTTCCCTCACTGTAGGTGCCCTTCTTTGTGAGGCATTGAAAAACCTCCCTGGTCTTTGTGGCTGAATCTGTGTTTGAAATTCTCTGCTTTACTGAGGGATCTTACATATAGTTGTATATGTGGGGTACAGATATGATGTAGTAATTAAAAAATCATGTTAAACACTATTATTGCATAGAGTGAGTCCATGCAACTTATTATGTGACTTGTTAAGCACATTTTTACTCCTGAACTTATTTAGACAAAGGGGTTGAATACTTATTGACTCAAGACATTTCAGCTTTTCATTTTTCATATATTTGTAAAAATGTCAAACAACATAATTCCACATGTCAATTTAATAAAACATGTATTCAGGCTGTAACACAACAAAAATGTGGAAAAAGTCAAGGGGTGTGAATACTTTCTGAAGGCACTGTAAGGCCTGAGGCAATTGCCTCTTCTGCCTATTGGTAAATCCAAAACTCAGAGGGTGACTTCCAGAGAGTGGCGAGGGGACTGTTCACTATTGTGAATCCCAAATCACTGCATAGCCCCTACCAACTCGCTTGGAGGGTTCTCTGTTGTCATGTGTTGCTGACAAAACTCAGAGGGTGACTTCCAGAGAGTGGCGAGGGGATCAATAAACTCATTAACTTCGGGACACTGGTGACTTGAATGATGCAATTCATGTTCAACTTTTAAATAATAAAATGAGCATGAAATTCAAATTAACACATCCCCCCTGTCATTTTACAAAATATAAACCTCAGTAACAGTTCAACATTTAATTTGGGAGGTATTTCATCTTTTACATGTGTCAAGTCTCGACATCAGCCATAAACAAATCCAAGTGTCATATAATTAGGCACGCCTATCCATTATTTTGTGTGAAATTGCGCAAAAACAAAAATCATGCGGTGCCTTATGGCATAAGGGATTCCACTTAGCTATGAAGCCGGCAGCATTGCAGGCTCAGTCGAAGTGCCATTGCAATTGCAATATTTGGTTTAAAAAAAGGCATTTTTTGCCCATACCGTGCAGCCCTACGTGGCAGTGTGTAAATAAGTTCAGGAGTAAAAATGTGCTTAACAAGTCACATAATAAGTTGCAATAATAGTGTTTAACATGATTTTGAATGACTACCTCATATCTGTATGTATGACCAATAGGTCCCTCCGTCGAGCAGTGAATTTCAAACACAGATTCAACCATAAAGACCAGGGAGGTTCTCCAATGCCTCGCAAAGAAGGGCACCTATTGGTAGATAGGTTTTTAAAAAAAGCAGATATTGAATATCCCTTTGAGCATGGTGAAGTTATTAATTACACTTTGGATGGTGTATCAATACACCCAGTCACTACAAAGATACAGGCGTCATTCCTAACTCAGTTGCCGGAGAGGAAGGAAACCGCTCAAGGATTTCACCATGAGGCCAATTGTGACTTTAAAACAGTTAGAGTTTAATGTCTGTGATAGGAGAAAACTGAGGATGGATCAACAACATTGTAGTTACTCCACAACACTAACCTAAATGACAGAGTGAAAAGAAGGAAGCCTGTACACAATAACAATATTCCAAAACATGCATCCTGTTTGCAATAAGGCACTAAAGTTAAACTGCAAAAAAAGTGTCAAAGAAATGAACTATGTCCTGAATACAAAGCATTTTGTTTGGGGCAAATCCAACACATCAATCACTGAGTACCACTCTTCACATTTTCAAGCAAGGTAGTGGCTGCATCATGTTATGGGTATGCTTGTCATCGGCAAGGACTAGGGATAAAAATAAACGTAATAGAGCTAAGCACAGGCAAAATCCTAGAGGAAAACCTGGTTCAGCCTGCTTACCAACAGACACTGGGAGACAAATTCACCTTTCAGCAGGACAATAACCTAAAACACAAGGGCAAATATACTCTGGAGTTGCTTACCAAGAAGACATTGAATGTTCCTGAGTGGCCTAGTTACAGTTTTGACTTAAATTGGCTTAGAAAACTATGGCATGACTTGAAAATAGCTGTCCAGCAATTATCAAAACCAACTTGACAGAGCTTGAAGAATTTTTAAAGAATAATGTGCAAATATTGTACAATCCAGGTGTGCAAATCTCTTCGAGACTTACCCAGAAAGACTCACAGCTGTAATCGCTGCCAAAAGGTTATTCTAACATGTATTGACTCAGGGGTGTGAATACTTATGTAAATTAGATATTTCTGTATTTCATTTTCAATACATTTGTACAAATTTCTAAAAACATGTTTTCACTTTGTCATTATGGGGTATTGTGTGTAGATGGGTGAGAATTCAGGCTGTAACAACAAAATGTGGAGTAAGTCAAGGCGTATGAATACTTTCTGAAGGCACTATATGTGGCGAGGAAGAACAACGACGTACCACGCTAGCAATGTAAACAAGTGTGGCGCCGAATTTAGCAACACTACAAGTGGCTAGAGCTAGTGGTTGGTGCCACTGTGTATATTCGTCTGTCACAAACGACACGGGAGTCTCTGGGGTCAAGTCTCTTTTTCATTTTGGTCTCACATATTATCCATAGGTCAGAAAGCAAGCTACAGCAGCTCTTTACTAAACATTAGTACCCCAACTATTTGATATACTGTACGACAAAACGTTGCACATGTAGGCCTACAATTCTGTCAGTAGCCATACTGTTTGGTATTATACATTTACATTTTAGTCATTTAGCAGACGCTATATATATGTAACTAAAGGTGATATTTTCACATCATAAAAGATATATTGTCATCATTAGAAGGCACTTTAGGAACAAAGGAAGACACTAAGGCCATAGAGAAAGGAGAAACGGAGAAATACAGTTCGAAGAGGAGAAAGAAGAGTTTCGCTCACGTATGCATCCGCTGTGAGACTCTGGAGGTAATCCATGGGGTCTGTAGAATCCATCAGCACAAAGCTCACAGTTCACCCCCGCCGTGTTGTGCTAGTGAGAGGGAAACACAGAGAAATCAGACAAACATCACACAACACTCCTGCTTTAGAGTGAATGGAGTGACTGGGTCAGAGGGACACTATGTTTTTGTTGCCTGGGGGCAACTATGGTTCCTCTAAGGCAAGAAGACAAACTGCAAAACTGTGTTTTCTAAAACTATAGATAAATGTTCTTATCAAACACACCTTGCAGTTGCTAGTCCATCTGTTTGCACTTTTTGCAGTACCACCAGTATCTTATCTTCTTTCACACTGAGCATGCATGCAGTGTAGATAGATGGCTTGTTTTAACATGCTTCCTGCAAGGGTATTTTAGTCCCAAAGGATAACAGTGCATCTCATTATTGGTGGTGAGGAAAAGTACTTTGTTTTGGAGATTTAGTCAAAATGAACTGTCTGACAATTGCACAAGGAATTTAATACAGAGAATATACACCATGTGTACATTGACTTAATTTCCATTACAGACCTCCATGCCTGCTCCTAGGTCTGGGTCATGTTTATTAGGGCACACCGTAGCAAAACGTTTTGCGATGACAAACGAAAACAAGTGTTTCTTATTGGACAAGTTCAGGTAGTACCTCCTAGTTTCACTCCATTCGCTTCTGTTTTGTGCCTACTGAACACTACCCCTGTTCTTATTCTAGTTTAGTCATGCTCCCTGTTCATCTTAAAGAGCACCCACATACATGCTATACATACCATACATAATGTCAAATTAGAATGAATCATGTCACACATAAAATCCTAAATGTAGATGAGGAACAGTCTTGGTGCTTGTCTCACACACACACACACAGGAATCCGTTCGGACTTGTAACGGGCTTCATACCTGGCAGTTGATGCACACTCCTCCGCCGTCGTACCTGCCGAATGTGTCTACACTTGCTCTCCTCTGCTCCACCTCTGGGTCGTAATAACACTCTGTGGCATGTGAATGGCACTGGCATGCTGTGGGAGAAATCCCCGAAACAGTCAGCAAGTAAACACACACATGAAGCAGAGGCACGCGCGTTCACACACACACACACACACACACACACACACAAACAAACACAAAACAGACACACAGAGACAGGTAAGAGAAAGTTCTGTATTTTATATCTTACAGTATATTTAGTTACTATCTCTTCCTAAAGCAGAGTGATGTGACTAGAAAGTCACTAGAAAGTCACTCAGTATATAGTCAACCATAACAGGACAGTACACCCTCTACTTCCTCCTCAATCTGCCTCATTAATGTTTCTGAATGGTTAGGGTGCATTTTCTAGTACGTGAGTGCACTGATTGGATTACAGACTTCTCCACTCTTTCGATCTCTCTCTCTTGTTCTGCGGTTGTAGAGTTGCAGGCTCGAGTTTCAGCATCTCCGACTCTGGGCTCGGGAGGGAAAAATCTTGTCAACAGGCCAGGGCAATTAGGAACCAGCTGGCATTGGGACTGACTGGCTGACTGGCTATGTAGAGGACAGCAGTAGCGGTGCTGTGCTAGCTACAGTAGACTGCATACAGTGCAGTACATCACACACATACCACATGAGTAATTCCCTTAACAGTTTGCTTAGGCGTCTTCCTAGTTCCAACACCATATCAGGGCATTAAGCACTGAAGCTAATGTGGTAGAGGAGATGATGGGAGAACCGTAATGAAGACATTCTGTGGCTGTACTTTCTCGCGCTGTACTTTCTCATGCAGTGTCATTGAAACACATTCATGACAAAGGAGAGAGCAGAGAACAGTTATACCCTTTTCCAGGGGCGCAACTTTCACTGGGAACGGGGGACATGTCCCCCCCGACATTCTGAAATTGCATTTTTGTCCCCCCCAGTTTTATCATTGGAATGTGATACAAAACGAGGCAACAGCGTGCTTTAGGACCAAGCGGACATCTCAAAGCGTTCGGGTAGGCTGTTTGGAGTGTGTATCCGACAGAAAAAAATTAAAAATAAGATGTCTCCCCCCCCCACGTCTAAAACCAAAGTTGCACCCACTGCCCTTTTCACACTATCATGCCAACCCCCAACCAAACTGTGCTGGCTCTGTTATTTTCTTTTCACATTGTGCTTTCCAGCACAGTTCCAGCAATGGTGGATTGTGGTGGATGCGTAACCAGTGCAGGTCAGTACTGCTTGGTTTGGAACACATTGGCACACAGACAGTCAGTCAGAAAGCAAAGAGAGGAGGGTGAGGGTGGCAAAGAGAGGAGGGTGGAGTGTGGTACTCACGTTGGCACTCGTTGGGGCTGTCTGTCGTAGCGGCACGCCATGGCTTCTGGTTGAACCCTGGACAGCAGCGGTCACATGACTCACCACAGGTGTTGTGTTTGCACTCGCACTGCAGCCTAAAGACAGGAGGAGAAAAGAAGGGACTGGGTTTCCTGCATCATTCTTTCATGTTTATGACTTTCAGTTGAAGAGAGGGAGTTTTGTAGCCTACAGTATATCATCAATAAGAAGCATCTGGTGACTGTTCACTCAAGACTCAAAAACATATCTGAATCCATTTTAGATGGACCTTGATGCAAGGTGTAAAAGAAGTAAAGTCAATTCCAAAGTGAATGAAGCCATTACAATGGTTAGATTAATCATTCACTGTCAAACTACAGTATGATGTCATTGACCCTTATTGTTTTTCATTGCCCATAAAATACATCACCTCTATAAGGACATCATCTTGGCCTCTTGCCAACAGTTTACATCAAACTCACAATCACTACTAATCAGGATAACTAAAATAAACTGGTGCCTTTTACAATGACAATGCCAGGAAACAAACAGATGAAGTAATTTCCTTTCTACCAAATCCCCAGCAATCTCTTCAACCTCAGACACAGATGCTATCACTGTGCTATTCAATAAAAACATTTTTAAAAATCAGTTAACCTCATCCCCCATACGCTTTACAACCCACTAAACACAACACATCCATTCACCCCTGTAAATGACAAATAAACTAAAGTAAGGATTCGTCATACTGAACTACTCAATGAATCCTCTGTTTTTGTTTTGTGGAACTTTTATATACATAATTCAGGCCTACGTCCAATAGGCTACAGTATGAATGAATGAAAGATAACGGATTCAACTGTAAGTATAAACAACAACAGACAAGTATATGTTTGTGGAGAATGAAACAGTAAACAAAGAAGCAGGTAAAAACAAGTATGAAAGATGTGCACTACTCACCGATTGGGGTTGCCTTGGTTACGCCCTCCACACACCTGCGCGTGGCCGTGACAAACGCAGCGTCCCCCGACACTGATGTCTTTGATGCTGTAGTAATACTGTCAACAACGCACAGAGGGAACAACACCGTCAGAACACTGTAGCAAGACTAACAACCATCTGCTCTATCAGAAACACTACATATAAACCTCACCTAAACAAACCCAGACATAGTCTGCCAATGCAGCTGAGGTGAGTTACATTGGGTTCTTTGGTTTTAGTCAATCCCTAGGCCACAGACGCTCACTAGCATAATTGAAGCTGGAGTTATACAGGTATGCCTATCTTATACAGTATTTCAACGGCAGGTAGCCTACAGTATATGGTGGCAGGTAGCCTATCGGTTAAGTGTTGGGCCAGTAACCGAAAGGTCGCTGGTTCGAATCCTCGAGGCGGCAAGGTGGAAAAATCTGGAAGGCAGATTGAGCAAGGCAGTTAACCATTAACAACAACTGCTCCCCGGGCGATGACGTGGATGTCGTTTAAGACAACCCCCTGCACCTCTCTGATTCAGAGGGGTTGGGTTAAATGTGGAAGACACATTTCGGTTGAATGCATTCAGTTGTGCAACTGACACCTAGACTGTCTGTCTGTCAAGCCAGCCCACCTTCTACAGGACCCTAGGGTCTCTTTTCTGGGGCAATGCTCTCATATACTAACTGGCGAACAGCTTTCCTGGATGGGTTCTGTGCTGCACTTGGATGACTGCAGCATTCACAATGGCCTCATACAGTACACATTTGCTCTAAAAACGTGAGTGAGTGTGAGTGTGTGTGTGTGTGTGTGTGTGTGTGTGTGTGTCATCCAACACTGGTCTGTGTTACTGAAGCCTGTTCCTGCAGCACCAGGGAGCTGTCTGGACCAGTCTTCACATTCTCTCTCTGTATGTGGAAGGAATTACCCTGGTGAAGACTGGACAGACAGCTCTGGCAGGGAGCCCCGACCAGGAGGAAGGAATGTGCAGCGAGAGAGAAATCACGTCAGTGTGTTTGTGTCAGCAGAAAGGTGCTGAGGGGGGGGCTACATCTTGTCACATCGGGCAATGAGGCAGAAGGTAGGCTACACATAACAGGTTGGTGTGAGACGATGTCATTGTGGGTTTGTGCTCTGCTGACGATGCATTCCTTGTTGCCCCTGAGTGGGTTAATAAAGTTGAAGTAAATTGAATTGAACTGATCTGAACTGTAATGAAATTAAATGAACTGAATTGGGTGCCTGTTGTGTGACTCACCCTGCGTGTGACAGTGGGGTCCCTCTGGGCCTTGGAAATGAGGTGCCCCAACAGAGTGCTGGTCCTGAGGAAGCGCAGGCGGATGTTGGTGGCCTTGGTGAAATCTCTCAGCACTGGAGAATAGGTGAAGTTCTTGGAGCCCGGGCGACCGTTTATCAGGGACACCACAATCTGGACAAGAACAACATTACTCAGACACAAATATCCCCATCACTCTGTAGAAGTAGTAGTCTTTTGGTACATTTTACAGGATTCAACATTGTGACAATCATATGTTCCCATTCAGTGAGTTTCTCACCTCTCCGTTCTCCAATGGAACGATCTTTGAGTACTCTGTGGTGCAGATCTGGTCGTCATCTCGGACTATGCGTCCATTTGGTTCTTTGCCAAACCTCTCAATGCACTCCCTTTTAGAATCTGAAAAGAACAAACAGAGTGATATGTCAACCACTATCATCTCTTTATAAGGGGCCAACCGTGAAGTTATTTTTCTAAGGGACTTCATCAAATTTCCTCATTTGCATCTTTTCCTTCTGATTACTGTAGCCCCCTGGCCCTTCGTAGCGCTCTGTTCTGGCAGTACATTCAAATGCTTCATCAATGTCTTGGTGTCCTCTTTTACCCTGTTCACATGTCAAATTTTGAACCTGTGCATGGTAGGTACAGTAACCTCTTTTCAAATCAGATTTGGCAAAACAATTGTTTAAGCAGCCTTTACAAGCTTCTACTTACTGCTGCTTTCCACACATGGATACTAGGTTATCTGACCTACTTGCACCCTGTCCACTGATAAGACAATCTGATCTCATTTATCGACATGACAGCAACAACTCGTGGGGAAACTGCATGACGACTTCAAGCATAATATATAATAAATGCAATATGGTTTATTCCTCTTTGACATTGAGCAGTATTACGAACCACTGACTGAGTTATACCATATTCATGTGTTTCATATTTCTGGTTATGAACATAGAAGCCAGAAAAGTGCTCAAACTCTCTCAGAGGGCTCCAAGGGTTTAGTCTGTTGGAAGGCCTATTCCCAGAAAAGTAAAAAAATCGGTGGCATTTGTTTGAAAATAAATCTACTGAATACCAAGAATCAAAGACCATAAAATAAGGAGAGCCAGGAGTGTATAGATTTTCCAGAGACACATTAAGAGAGAGAGAGATCAAGAGAGAGAGATCAAGAGAGAGAGATCGTGAGAGAGAGATTGAGAGAAAGAGCGAGAGAGAGAGATCAAGAGAGAGAGATTGAGAGAGAGAGATCAAGAAAGAGAGAGATCAAGGGAGAGAGAGATCAAGAAAGAGAGAGCGAGAGAGAAATCGAGAGAGAGCGAGAGCGAGAGAGAGAGATCAAGAAAGAGAGAGCGAGAGAGAAATCGAGAGAGAGCGAGAGAGAGCGAGAGAGAGAGCGAGAGAGAGCGAGAGAGAGAGCGAGAGAGAGAGAGAGAGAGAGAGAGAGAGAGAGAGAGAGAGAGAGAGAGAAGAAGACAAAGAAAAGCCTAAAATGAAATTCAAAAGGAGATATAAGGCACAGCTGTTTCTGCTGGAAAGGTGCCTCACAGGGACTGGGCATGTCTTCACTTTAAGACCAGGCTGGTGAGCGTGTGTATGAGGAGGTACGGTGCATTCAGAAAGTATTTTCTACAACTTGATTAGAGTCCAACTGTTGTAAATTCAATTGATTGGACATGATTTGGAAAGGCACACACCTGTCTATATAAGGTCTCACAGTTGACAGTACATGTCAGAGCAAAAACCAAGCCATGAGGTCGAAGTTATTGTCCGTTGAGCTCTGAGACAGTATTGTGTTGAGGCACAGATCTGGGGAAGGGTACCAAAATATTTCTGCTGCATTGAAGGTCACCAAGAACACAGTGGCCTCCATCATTCTTAAATGGAAGAAGTTTGGAACCACCAAGACTCTTCCTAGAGCTGAACGCCCGGCCAAACTGAGCAATTCGGGGAGAAGGGCCTTGATCAGGGAGGTGACCAAGAACCTGATAGTCATTCTGACAGAGCTCCAGAGTTCCTCTGTGGAGATGGGAGAACATTCCAGAAGGACAACCTTCTCTGCAGCATTCCACCAATCAGGCCTTTATGGTAGAGTGGCCAGACGGAAGCCACTCCTCAGTAAAAGGCACATGACAGCCCGTTTGGAGTTTGCCAAAAGGCACCTAAAGGACTCTCAGACCATGAGAAACAAGATTCTCTGGTCTGATGAAACCAAAATTGAACTCTTTGGCCTGAATGCCAAATGTCACGTCTGGAAGAAACCTGGCACCATCCCTACGGTGAAGCATAGTGGTGGCAGCATCATGCTGTGGGGATGTTTTTCAGCGGCAGGGACTGGGAGACTAGTCAGGATCAAGGGAAAGATGAACGGAGCAAAGTACAGAGAGATCCTTGATGACGACCTGCTCCAGAGCGCTCAGGACCTCAGACGGGAGCGAAGGTTCACCTTCCAACAGGACAACGACCCTAAGCACACAGCCAAAACAACGCAGGAGTGGCTTTGGGACAAGTCTCTGAATGTCCTTGAGTGGCCCAGCCAGAGCCCGGACTTGAACCCGATGGAACATCTCTGGAGAGACCTGAAAATCGCTGTGCAGCGACGCTCCCCATCCAACCTGACAGAGCTTGAGAGGATCTGCAGCAAATAATAGGATGAACTCCCCAAATACAGGTGTGCCAAGCTTGTAGCATCATACCTAAGAAGGCTCGAGGCTGTAATTGCTGCCAAGAGTGATTCAACTAAGTACTGAGTAAAGGGTCTGAATACTTATGTAAATGTGATATTTAATTTTTTTATGTAATTTTTTTTATCTTAAAAAAATTCTAAAAACCTGTTTTTGCTTTGTCAATACGGAGTATTGTGTGTAGATTGATGAGGGATTTTTTTTAAATCCATTTTAGAATATGACTGTAACGCTATCAAAATGTGGAAAAAGTAAAGGGGTCTGAATACTTTCCGAATGCACTGTATATAGGAGAGGGCAGGTCTACTGACTGGATCATAAGTCACTTATAAACCAAGCTCTTTGCACTTATGGTAAGTATTAGGATTACAGTTCTGGAGAACAGCACATTTTTCATTGGACTTCAGAAATCTTTTTCACTTCGAAGGTATTTCATCACAATCTGTAATGTTTGCCAATTCCCAATAGGCTGCATTAAGCAGCAACACAATCTCAACACATGTACCGGACGACAGGTCATCTCGTTAGTTCAATAACTCCTTTATCAACAGTTTAACTGTTTCAACAGTTTTCAAGTCCTGCAAAAGCTGACTACCAGACCCAACCAAGAGCCTTGAGAAGCACCAGCGTAACAGACAAATGTGTGAATTTGAAAATAAAACAGTAATACTTACGAGCAAAGTACTGCCATGGAGCATACGATTTCCCATGGTCCAGGGAGCGCTCCAGGACCCACAGGTCAGGCCGAGGGGCGTTGGCAAACTTGATGAGGACATAGGCCACATGGAAGAGCTGAAAACAATATTAGCACAAAGAGCAGAGCAGTGTTTAACAGAGGGCTACAAACAACCATAATGTTAATTGATTCTGGCATTAGAAGTGGTTGGTTCAAAACGTTGTGGTTTCAATTGACCTTGGTCCACTAACACCAGCTCAGACTTGGCAGAAGGCGGAGCCTCAGCAATAGACAATACTCCATTTCCTTTTACGTGAAGGCTGGAGCACAATCACGTCAACAACAATAATCTACTCTACTGTACCTCCACCGGCTAGCGAAAACCACCACAGTGATCATATACATTGAACAAAAATACAAACGCAACATGCAACAATTTCAAAGATTTGATTGAGTTACAGTTCATATAAGGAAATCAGTCAATTGAAATAAATAAATTAGGCCCTAATCTATGGATTTCACGACTGGGAATACAGATATGCATATGTTGGTCACAGATACCTTAAAAATAAAAGTTGGGGCGTGGATCAGAAAACCAGTCAGTATCTGGTGTGACCACCATTTGCCTCATGCAGCGCTACACATCTCCTTCGCATAGAGTTGATCAGGCTGTTGATTGAGGCCTGTGGAATGTTGTCCCATTCCTCTTCAATGGCTGTGCGAAGTTGCTGGATATTGGCGGGAACTGGAACACGCTGTTGTACACATCAATCCAGAGCATCCCAAACATGCTCAATGGGTGACAAGTCTGGTGAGTATGCAGGCCATGGAAGAACTGGGAATTGTTCCACTTCCAGGAATTGTGTACAAATTCTTGCGACACGGGACCGTGCATTATCATGCTGAAACATGAAGTGACGGCAGCGGATGAATGGCACGACCACGTGCCTCAGGATCTCGTCAAGGTATCTCTAAAACGACGTTGGAGGCGGCGTATGGTAGAAATTAACATTACATTCTCTGGCAACAGCTCTAGTGGACATTCCTGCAGTCAGCATGCCAAAGGCATGCTCCCTCAAAACTTGAGACATCAGTGGCATTGTGTTGTGTGACAAAACTGCACATTTTAGAGTGGCCTTTTATTGTCCCCAGCACAAGGTGCACCTGTGTAATGATGATGCTGTTTAATCAGCTTCTTTATATGCCACACCTGTCAGGTGGATGGATCATCTTGGCAAAGGCAAAATGCTCACTAACAGGGATGTAAACAAATTTGTGGCCAAAATTTGAGAGAAATAAGCTTTTTGTGCGTATGGAACATTTCTGGGATCTTTTATTTCAGCTCATGAAAAATGGGACTAACACTTTACATGTTGCGTTTATATTTTTGTTCAGTGTAGTATGGTACAGTAAAATACAACAGTCAGATATTACAGATGCTCAACAAGACCTGTGTTGAGTGGATGAAACTGCTGCAGGTGCTTCTGAAACACGCACCCTCCGGGCCCTCCGAAACGATATCTCTACCATCAGAAAACACAGGCTACACAAGAGCACCTGATGATGATGATGATGTTCCCTTCCCTAGTGTACACTATCCTTTCTCTAACGCCCTCATGGCTATGTTTCCACACTCAATGTTCCTCTCTCGCCATCATCATCATCATCATCATCAGGGCTCGAGAGCGGGTTGCTTCAGTTCGATTGAATAGAATTAAAAGCTGTTTTTTTCAACAGTCAAAGCCGTCTTTGTGGTGGTTGGCATTGAGTTTGCCCAGTTTGGAATTAGAATTTACGACATCAGACCACACAGCGCGTGACAATCGCAGTGTAAACAAACACACCTGACCACCCCCACCCCCACCCACACTTCTGTGATTTGTTAAATGTAATGTCAAAATGTAGATTTCTGCCTAAAGAGTAATTATGTATCATGAGAGGGCCATAAACAATACCTAGTAATGCTTATTCTGCCAGAAATATTAAAATCTCAACTTTCTGGCAAAATATAGTTAGGCATTGCTGAGGTGTAGTCACTTTTGAGGACACAAGCTGAAGTACACAGTACAAATGATACAAATATGAAAAATCCTAAGATTTTTTCCCTATTCAACAAAAGTGGGGGAATAGGGCTTGAAAATATTTTTTTCTAAATATACTAACAATCAAATTATATAAATATTATTTCATATTTTTATAACTGTAAAATAAATAAGATCATACATAGTGACAGTACAAAATTGCCACCAATTCATATAACTGATGAGCGAGCATTTTCTGCCGAGTGTCCTCTGAAAGCGACGCACAGACGCCATTCAAATGCCAGTTGACTTATTACAACTTCAGCTTTAAGCACGAGGTGATTTCGTCCCTCTGTGACCAAGAGAAAGTGGTCTTGTTTAAATATTTTATTTTGAGAGCTAAATCCATCTGAGAACATCACAGTGAAATGAGACTGCATGTGTTGCAATTGCTAGAGATTCATATGCCTTATTGTAAGCGGAGCTGCGAGGTTCACAGCCAGGGAAGTTCGATCCTTTGTCTGGATAGGCCAGAAAATGTGATGTGTCGCTCCCTATGCAAATGAGGTGTTATACAGTTTAAGTCGGAAGTTTACATACACCTTAGCCAAATAGATTTAAACTCAGCTTTTCACAATTCCTGACATTTAATCCTTGTAAACATTTCCTGTCTTAGGTCAGTTAGGATCACCACTTTATTTTAAGAATGTGAAATATCAGAATTATTGTAGAGAGAATTATTTATTTCAGCTTTTATTTCTTTCATCACATTCCCAGTAGGTCAGAAGTTTACATACACTCAATTAGTATTTGGTAGCATTGCCTTTAAATTGTTTAACTTGGGTCAAACGTTTCGGGTAGCCTTCCACAAGCTTCCCACAATAAGTTGGGTGAATTTTGGCCCATTCCTCCTGACAGAGCTGGTGTAACTGAGTCAGGTTTGTAGGCCTCCTGGCTCGCACACGCTTTATCAGTTCTGCCCACACATTTTCTATATGATTGAGGTCAGGGCTTTGTGATGCCCACTCCAATGCCTTGACTTTGTAGTCATTAAGGCATTTTGCCACAACCTTGGAAGTATGCTTGGGGTCATTATCCATTTGGAAGACCCATTTGCGACCAAGCTTTAACTTCCTGACTGATGTCTTGAGTTGTTGCTTCAATATGTCCACATAATTTTCCTTCCTCATGATGCCATCTAGTTTGTGAAGTAAACCAGTATGCTTTGAGACTGATGATCATTTAGATTTTTTGAACGTTTTGCTTATTTTTCATTTACTATCGCTACCTGTGCATTTCTTTGTAGGAGAGTGACTGAACAGTAATGGTGCTCGGCTGTAGTTGCCTTGTCGCAGTGGAGAATGTGGGTTTTGCAACATAATCTGGAAGTCCTTTTGAGACCTCTACATGACAATGACCCGACAGCCCCGAAACCTGAAGGATCTGGAGAAGGTCTGTATGGAGGAGTGGGCCAAAATCCCTGCTGCAGTGTGTGCAAACCTGGTCAAGACCTACAGGAAACGTATGATCTCTGTAATTGCAAACAAAGGTTTCTGTACCAAATATTAAGCTCTGCTTTTCTGATGTATCAAATACTTATGTCATGCAATAAAATGCACATTAATTACTTAAAAATCATACAATGTGATTTTCTGGATTTTTGTTTTAGAGTCCGTCTCTCACAGTTGAAGTGTACCTATGATAAAAATTACAGACCTCTACATGCTTTGTAAGTAGGAAAACATGCAAAATCAGCAGTGTATCAAATACTTGTTCTCCCCACTGTATATATATTACAGAACAGTTACTGAGACTTTGTTGTTGATAAAAGTAAGAGACTGAATAATTGATTATTCTGTACAGACTTTTTTTGTACCCCCCTTTTGATTCCACGGCACCAGTGCCACCTGCCACCATACGTAAAAATGTATGCGCACATGACTGTAAGTCGCTTTGGATAAAAGCGTCTGCTAAATGGCATATTATATTATCTTCTACAAACTACTTCGCTCATCATCTACAGCTTCTACAATCATCATCATCATCGTCTCGTCTCTATAGAGGGACATTTGACTGGTACATTGTGGTAGGAACTGGACTGATAATTGAGGGCACTCACTTTTTTTTTATTGGCTACCCAGGTCTTACTTGTTTTGATTACTGTATTGGAGAAAATTGTGTTGTTGTGAATGAATGTTTATTGCAGTTGTGGTACTCTGTTGTTGTGCATTGATTGAAAAAAAGAGGGGGAAAAAAACGATTTCCACAATAGATAAATTTTCAAACGTATATCATGGAGTCCTTGAAGTATCCTTGAAGTATCCTTCCTTGAGTAGATATTTATTGTTTTTCCTTGCCTTATTAGATGACATTGCTTTAGATATCAGTCTCCTTTCTAACCTAAATAGACTGTATGCACATTGAACATAGTAACTCCAAAGTAGTTCTTACAGTATGTTACACAGAGTTGAAAAGGATAAAGGCAGGCCCACACTAGTCGAGGTTCCTATCGAGCCTTCAAAACCCCAGCAGGCTTTTGTGACTGGTGTTCAAGTTCTCCTTCTCCCCTCGTCTCTCTTTGCATGAGGCAGAGCTGTGCTAACTAAGATATCAAAGCAAAGAAAAGCCAAACGCTTGGCCGAGGACTCTGAGACTTGACAACACATTGCCAACACACTAAAGCCATTACAGAAGAACACTCCCAAGAGCTGGCCAAAAGCCCTGCTTTCAACAAGTAGCCTAGATAAGTGCGCAAAGATTTAAGTATAAAAGCTAGATGAATGCGTGGAAGTCTTGAAGACAATGATTTGTGAGAAATCTTACAGCTCATGTCTTAACCCCGTTGGCAAACACCCTGTTCTGACCTCTATTTCACATGGATCTCAAAGCTAATCAGAGAACCCTTCCACCCACTATGCTACAGGATGCATAGGGAACAAAAAAAGATAACCAGAGCACACAAACAAAACGTAAGCTGCAGACTGTCAGACCTAAAAACAGACGCAAGGCAAAGTATTGGCTGAGAGGTTACTATCAATAGACCCAATGACTGGGACTGGGTCTGCTGAGGAGGAAGGAGCAGGAAAATGTTAGTTCACACGCGCTGGGATTGGGATCAGGGGTGTAGTGCTGCCGGAGTGCACCGGAGTGACCCTCCGCAACTTCCTAGAATGCAATGGTGCTTGTTTAATAAAGTTTAGATCAAAGCTGAATCAATGTCTCGCAAGATAATTTAATTATTCATTATTATTCTACATAACAAACCAAATATAATAGCATGGTATAACATTACTGTTAGACCAAAAACACCATGTAATTGAATTTCCTACATTTTAGGATGATTGTGCTGAATGAAGACCTTTTTTTTCTCATGCGCCAAACCTCAAAAGTGCGCGCCACTAGGCAAAATATGTGCAAAATACAGTAGGTTACTTACATCATTCAAGAAGATCGAAATGCATATCATAATGAAACTGATTGAGATCAAATGGTTGGCATGCAGGTGCAGCTTGGAAGAATTATCATTCACGATTGACAGTGATGGTGGCCTATTTTCAAATAGGTAGGCCTAATTTGGTGTTTGAGGGTATTAAAAGCGGAAACATTTATTTGAGCCAATATGTTTAGGCATAGGCAGACATTGCATTTGGAGGATGCGTTTTGATGATGTCATAAAAACGTAAAGAGCTCCGGCACCCCAAAACATCCCATTCAGTGGTATGGTGCTACTATTTTGGGGTGCCGGTGCTATTTTATATATGACATCATCAAGTATGTACCGACATGTAGCCTTTTGAAAACATTTGAATAAAATGCATCCTCCAAATGCAATGTCTGCCTATGCCTAAACATATTGCCTCAAATAAACGTTTCAATTTTGAAAATAGGCCACCGTCTCTGTCAATTGTGAATGATGATTCTTCCAAGCTGCATCTGCATGCCAACCATTTGATCTCAATCAGTTGGATGGAGGGGGAGAGAGGGGGAAGGAGGAGTGTGGAGGAGAAGGGTGGCTGAGACGTGCCGACTGGCATGTGGGCCAGTCTCAGATTCCTGCCATGCCGTCACATTTCTCCCCCCTCTCCCCTCTTCCGACCTCTGCCCCCATGTCCCCACGCCAGGGCATGCCATTGCTTTCAGGAACCTGTCCCTGACAAAAAAAATGTCAAAGACTCCAGCCACCCAAGTCAAAGACTGTTCTCTCTGCTACCGTACGGCAAGCCTGGAGCCAACAGGACCCTGAACAGCTTCTACCCCCAAGCCATTAGACTGCTAAATAGTTAGTTAAATAGTTAACCAAATAGCTACCCGGACTATATGAATTGACCCTTTTTGAACAAACTTTTTTGACTCATCACATACGCTGATGCTACTGTTTACTATATGTCACTATATTCCTAGTTATATGTAGATTTCTACCTCATTTACCTCGTACGCCTGCATATTGACTTCCTACTGGTACACCTTGTATATAGCCAAGCTATCATCACTCATTGTGTATCTATTATT